ATCCGTCGACACCGACAAGTCAAATCTTCATTTAGTTTATGATATGTGGGATTCTATGATTGAAAAAGTGAAGAATTGCATTTATAGAAAAGAAGGCAAGAGAGATGATGAATATTTATCATTTTACAATGTGGTACATACTATCCTTGTTGATTGGTGGAATAAGAGCAATACACCATTACATTGCTTAGCTCATTCACTAAACCCAAAGTGAGCATTTTTTTCCTCAAATAAACTTTTAATCTATATTGGTTAGACTATAATAGTTGATATTATTTATGAATGTTTTTCTATCTTGTAGATATTATAGTGCGACTTGGCTCATTGAAGCCCCGAATCGAGTTGCACCACACATGGATCCCGAGATCTCAAATGAAAGAGCTAAATGCTTGAAGAGTTATTTTCCTAACTCCGAGGAGCGGAGAATGGTTAATGTGGAATTTACTAAATTTTTCACCGCACAAGGTATATTTGCGGATCATGACTCTTTGGATGATAGGGGGAAAATGGATGCAAAGTCTTGGTGGGTTATCTATGGAACATCTATACAAAAATTGCAAGAGTTAGCATTAAAGTCGATTGGGCATCCTTGTTCCTCTTCTTGTTGTGAGAGAAATTGGAGCACTTATAAATTTATCCATTCTCTTAAGAGGAATAAGATGAGTCCACAACGAGCGGAAGATTTGGTATATGTTCACACAAATCTCCGTCTTCTTTCTAGGAGATCCTTGGAATACTCTAATGGGGAGACAAAGATGTGGACATAGGAGGAGATGAATTTGAATCATTCAAAGTGCCAATATTTTAGAAATTGCAAACCTTTCTCTTGACGAGCCGAAGCTTGAGACCGTTATATTTAATGAGTATGAAAATGTTGAATGTTGATTGTCTTCTAACCGGTGCAAAGAATATTGTTTTAACTTTTAGGATATGCTAGTGAGTTGTAAGTTTTTGGGATGTAAAGCCAACTTTTGGAGGTATATTTGCAACTTTAAACAATATATTTGTAATATTTTGAGGGATGCTTGTAATATTTTGGGGTATAGTTCTAACTTGTGAATATATGCTTGTAATTTTTAACTCTCGTTTTGCGAGGTAGGCTTGTATTTTTGTATGCTCAAGATGAAAGTAATGAAAATTAGAATTTGGTATTATCTTCAAATCAGTTACATAACTTACATTTGTCATTGATTATACAAGCCAATGTTACATCATAATATAAGTATATAACATACAAGTTGATCTATTTTTCTATATGTTCCTCTTCTCTTTCTTGTCTTCTTTAACATTTTTGTCTTTAATTCTCCAAGAGATCATTGCCATCCCGACGTCTTAATTCACACCTGTAACATGCACTTTCCATTAGTTTCATATTTATAATCTCCACTTTACAAACAAAAAAATGAAAATATAATAGGTATTTAATTCAATATTGATGTAAAGTGAATTATTTTATATATATACATCCGTGTCCCCGTACCCTACTTTTTACAAATTTGCCATGTCCTGTACCCGTACCCGTACCCGTACCAAGGCAACATAGGCAATATCAAATAGTGATTTTGATAATTTCACTCGAATGGGTAATTTGATTGATGAGTATGCTTTATCTAACATGCACTAGAAGATAGTGGAGAAGGTCATGGCTATACATTTTCTGAATAATGTCTCCATATCCTAGTTAATTTGAGAGGATTCTCGTTTCAACAGGGCCAACTTCCTTTCGCTGAAGTATCATTTTTTAGCATGTCATCAACTCATTTAGTCATCTTTGCGGAAGTATAATTTTCTTAGCGCATTGTCAGTTTGTTTTGTGATTTTCATATTGTGTTAATTATGTGTCATAAAAGATGAAAACCGAATGTTTCTATTACTGTGGCCCATGATGCAGCTTTTCTTTTGAGGTGGATTTGTATTGTTGGTAAAAAATAGGAAATTTGACTGATTAATGGTTGGAATATCGGTGCCTAAGCACTACCTATTGTGACAATAATTAAAGTTACAAATAGCAATTTGTGTTTACCATCATGTCTCCTTGTTTCAGGGTATATTAGCAATGTACAATGCGCATAATTTAAATGAACCAAATGATGACATTTCTTTGCTATTTCCTCTGATAGGGGTTTAGGGATTTAATTCAGTCTGTGTGATTTAACCATGGAATGAATATAAGGTCTTAATTGGATGTAATAATTTTTCTTAGCCTATTTAATGTAATTTACGGAATTCAAATATAGTGGTAGAATATGTTGCACTTTTCATTTTAAGGGTTCTGAACCGGATCATATGATATTAATCATTTTTGCCAGTTGAGATATATCATATGAGGAGGGTGTATAGAAACAAAGGGTGTGTAGAGGATTATATACCTCCTCTGCAGCCTTGCTCCTCGCCTTTGTGTCTTTTCCTCCAGTTTTATCATCATTACGGTTAGTTTGCAACATAATTTGATATCTGATAGTTATTGGAGTTGAACTGTAGCTAAGTACTGTTCATCCCCCAATAACTTTAGCATATACGAGCAAAATTGACTCATGTGTTGCCGTGATATTAGTGTAGAAAAGCCAAAAATAATAACGATTCAAGGTTTTGGTTAAAAATCACACTGTATGTCTGACCACTTAGAACAATATATATATACAGCAGGTTGCAATAAAAATATAGCAACTTGCATCATGTATCAAGCTATAAATTTAAAGTGTATTTGAAGTTAATTCGACGGAGCATTTAGTGTCTGAGAGTAATTTTAGAAATGAATGAGTCTAAAAATAAATAGGGGTAATGTTTTGGATTTATATGTAGAAAGCCCCATCTACAATTTACAATGCCACAACATTAGTAAGGAAATGGACAGAAATAATAACAGTTTACACATTGGTTTAAAAAATACATTTTATCTAATTGCTTAGAACAAAAATAGTCAACAATAATAAACAAGGTTATCAATAGCGGATAACATCGTGTAGCGGTGAGGTAGCGCTAACGCTATTTGGGGCTATTACGGCAAAATAGCGGTAAAAAGCCCAAAGTCAAATAGCGGTCTAATTTAGGTATGTATAAATATTCCAAAAAAAGAAAAATTAAAGAAAACTCTAGAAAATATAAAAGTGCATATATGATGATTTAAAGAGATTCTAAACATTAAATAGACATGTAGTCTTTACATAATAACGAAGATGACTTGAGGAGAAGTCAATGAGTCGTCTTCAGGAGGAGCTCCCAGCGAGAGGAGGTGAGAGTAAGTGTTGAGGGAGATGCCGGAGGCTGTGGCAGGTGGTCGGAGCGTCGAAAATCGCGGGAGGCGTTGGGATGCAGTGGTTGCTGGTCGGGTTTAATTTAAAAAAAATAAACTTCAAACTACTTTTTAAATAGCGGTCAAAAAACAGATTTTTCCCGCAATTGCCCGCTATTCACCACTATGGAGCATTATTAGCCGTTTTTGCGGCTGGAAAGCACATATTCTGCAACATGTCACCGCTATTGGGCTATAGCGTAGCGGGAATGGACTGCTAATGCTATTAGCGCCGTTATTGCAGCGTTATTTGCCGCTATTTATAACAGTGATAATAAAATATAGCAACTTATATTGTATATCAAATTGCTAAAATGCAAAGTGCTTATTAATTCATTCAATGGAGTATTTTGAATTTTAGAGTGATTTTAAAAGCAAGTGTACTTAAAGTAAATGGGTGCATTTTTTGTT